GCTCGCTCTGTGGGCAGCAACACAGAGGCAGGAGTCAGCCACAGTAGGCGCCTGCAACTCCCAAGACCCCAAACAAGCGAAGCACTGGAAAGAAGGGGTCACAGAATTGGGACCCTGCAATGGGACCTCCTAGGTTTCCCTGGTGCCACAGCATTAATTGCAGCCACAGAACATGTGAGCCTGAATGAGAAACGCCCTCGACTCCATGGGGTGCCACTGCCACATGTCCTGTTCATGCCCAGTCCCCAGGTGATACAAACACGGCCCAGACGCCCACAGCAGCGTGCACGCACACGGAAGAGCAACCAGAACCACCACTGATGACGGATTCGCCAACCACGTCTGTCCAAAGGGGGAGTACTATGCAGCCAAGAGCACACGCAAACCTGGGTCACACCACGCATGGGGCACACAACCATGGGCTTAGACCACGCACAGTGCTTCCACTGAATGGCTCCCCACACAGGTAGGGCCACGGAGAATCTGACCAGAAGTCAGGGGAAGATAGAAGATGGCTGTTTTCCTGGAAGATGAACATGCCCTGGGATGGACTGCAGTGACGGCTGCCCAGTTCCGGGACACACTAAACCAGGCATGACACACCTTCCACAAAGTGCTACGTGACAACGTCCTGCCACCTGCATCTGCTCTAGTGGTGAGAACAGGCAGGGTGCACTGCCTACTGGGTCTCACCTATGAGGTCTCGTGCCATCTCCTGATCCTCTTGAAAGCGGCAGGCATCACTGAGCTGCAAGAGTGAGTCCACATGGTAGGGGCTTGTCTGGAGCAGAACCTACCAGAAAAGAAGGGCAGCTCTGGAGGAAGGTCACAGGCAGGGACCCACAGGACACCCCTGCAGTCCACCAGGACCTGTGCACACCAGGAGACACAATCACCAGGTGACAGACGAAATTCCCTCTGGACTCCATTGTGCACTGCTCTTACCCAGCCAAGGCCTGGACCTGGCTCCAGGTGGGAACTGGGGACCCTGCCTGCCCAGTGGGGCTGTCTTGGCTCCCAGGTCTCAGGACAGAGGACTGAAAGCAAGCAGGTTCCCGCCCCCCCTACGTGGGGGACATGGGGCCAACAGGATCTACATGCTCCCCCTACCTCCCCAGTGAGGCCCAAGACAGAGGCAGCACCTGGGAAGGACCATAGTGCCACTATACACAGCTCCCAGCGGGAGAGCACCTGAGTGCCAAGTCTCCATAGTGCCCCTCGGGTCCGGGGGCCCCACTGCCAGGGGAGCAGCTGCCCGGGCACTCGCCCTCCACCCACTGGCAGCTGTGGGGCCCACGCACCACAATGTTGTTTGGCTCCATGGACTCCACGGCCACCAGGAACTTGTGCTGTGCCTGCTGGTACTCCTCACTGTGTTCAAACGCAAAGAAGGAAAGGCCTTTTTTCGATTCCAACAGCCGCATAGACAGACCTGGCAGGTGAGAGTGCACAGAGAAGGTGTGCTGGAGGCCAGGACATGGCACCTCTACAGAGCACAGTAGCCCCAACAGTCTCCCTTGTGCTGTTCTCAGAAAGGACTCTGTGATACCAACCCACTCGATCTGAGGGGTCTCACAGGTCACCCAGGCCTGGGGCTGGGCTGCCTCTGGGCCAGAGGCTGACGTCCGGGGACTCTCAGAACACCTGGGCCTGCTTCCCACTGCTTGCTTGGGCTGTCCTGGGAGCTGGCCTCCATCTGCTTTCCACAAAGACTCGCTTCTCTATAGAATTCAGATGAGCTCCAGGAAAGGATGGAGCTGAAATGGCCCAGGACAGCAAGCCTCAGGGATGGGAGCATGGAGGTCCATCTGGGTGCCCGATCACGTCTGGTTGGGACCAGCAGCCAGGGTGGCTGTGAGGGGCTGGGGCAGGAGGCGTGCAGTGGGCACAGGGCCAGGTCAGAGGCCTTGGCCATGTGTAACCCCTGACCAAATA